GAACAAGAGCAAAAGGAAGTTGATAATGATAGACAACCACATCACACAATCTGTTAAAGCATCAATCTTATACACTCAAAATTCTTCTCAAAATAACAAGTCCAAGCAATGGCGTTAATGGTGTAACCATTGTAAGAAACTTGAACATGTGAAAGAAAAGTGATGGAAATTACATTGCAAACCTACATATTGGAATCCATCTAATAAAAAATATGATAGGGAGAACCGATCAATTGTTTTCACAACTAACAACAATTCAAAATTCAACCCATTCACCAGGGAGCAAATGGAGGCATTGCAGAAAATGTTTAATTCGAGTTCCGGATAAGTATCACAATCCTCTACCGAGCAGCCTACTAGCAGGATGGAACAACTAGATATCATCTCTTTTTATCTAACAATGGAAGATCTCTACTTTGGATGATAGATTCGGGTGTTTTTGACCCCCATGACTAGGATATTCACGCTTTCATCAACTATCAAGAAATCAACACCTCCAAATTTGTTAGATTTGTCGATGGATCTCACTCTAGAATTATTGGGAAAAGAGGAGTGAAAATCTCTAAAAGTACTTATCTTTTTTCTGTCATGTGTTCCCGACTAGATTGTAAATTACTTTCAATAGCAATCTTACTAATGACATGAATTATATTATTGAATTTCATTCTAATTAAAAGTTTCCGATAATAAATTCAAGGAAAGTGATTGGCAGTATTGAATTGCATCAAGATTTACACATACTCAAGATAAGCTATTCTCTTAACAAAACTGTTCTTCACCATCCTCTTCTCATATTCCTAAATATGTTGAGTCATGTTTTATCATGTCATTGTTTTCTTAGTCATCTCAATTTTCATTGTGTTGCAAAGTTGTAACATCATCTCCTTATTAATCAAATGTTAAAATTTTATTAGTGTGAAACCTATCAATTGACTATGCATACTCCTCACGTATAACATTTGTCTGCGTACAAACTCTCACATCATTTCTCTATCATCGAAAATGACATTCAGAGCCATCAAAATTAAAAACCAACGATGGAGTCAGATGGTTTGTCTCTTCATTAAAGTTAGCACTAGAACCAGTTGAATATTCCTCATGAAGCAAAAATTTGAAACTACACAAATTTATTAGTCCTTTCACGACATGATTTATAATTAGTTTCAATGCAAAATTCATATTTTTAAAACTAATAAAGAAAAGGAATACTACAACTCGATCCTTGGATCCTACTTTGCAAAGAATAGGATTATCCATGTGTGCTCCTGTGTTGAGACTCCACATTAAAATGGGATAGCAGAAAGGAAAAATATATATCTCCTTAAGGTATCTAAATTTATAATGCTTTCTCATAAAGCCCCAAGAGTCTTATACGGAGATGCATTGCTCACAGTCACCTACCTTGTTAAAAGAATGTCAAGCAGAGTCTTCAAATTCAAAGCTTCTCTCCATTTTTCAATGGGAACATTCCCTCATAATAGAGCCTTCTCATCAAATTTTGCTCTTAATATTTGGTCATCTCTTTCATTCATATTCACCAATCTAACCACACAGCTTGACTCAAAATACATTAAGTTTATCTTCCTTGGTTATGCTTCTAACATAAAGAGGTGTAAATGCAATTCTCCCATACTAAGTGTTGATATGCATTTAATGAGAAATCGAGCATGGGAAATTATTCTCCCCTAATTATCCACTATTGTGTTCTTTTTTTTTTTTTTTCATTATCATGATGATTTGAATTTCCATCCAATTGTATTAGGGTTAGTCTGAGTTGTATTTATTAGTTATTTGCTTGATAAGAAAATTAAAGAGTTTTTTCCTCTAAGAAAGTTCCTCCTAAATTCAACACTAAGAAATATTATAGCTACAAAGATTTTACATTCTTTGAAAAACAATCCTACTACCCAAAGTCTAAAATTCAGCGGGGGAGTTTGGGTGAATAACATATTTGGGACAATACTTTAGATACACACACTGAACTAGAGTCGCCACAACTTATTCTACTTCTCTCTAATCATCATGTTTCCTAAGTTCCACCACATGAGGTTATCCAACCTAAAATTAAAAACAAAAAAATGACAAGGAACGTTGTTTGTGCACTAGAAGAAAGAAATTCACCATGACAAAGATAATGTGCAACCGTTGCACTACTTACAAACAAACCTAAATTCACAAATCCATGAAATTCCAAGAGAGGTGAAATCTAACAGAGAAGCCAGAAAAAGTTGCAAAAATTATCCTATCCAAGAGTATGTTGCCTATGAGAAGTCCTAATCATATAAAGCTTTTGTATATAATCCTGATAGCATGCAGATACCCAAATCTATTCATGAAGCACTTTAAAGTACAGAATGGAAAATAGAAGTTGAAGAGGAAATCCAAATGCCTGATCTAAAGGACACATGAATTTTTACAAAAATTCTTCTAGATAAAAGACTCATTGGGTGCAAATGAGTGTTCAATGCCATGTGCAAAGCAGATGAGAGCATTGAAAGGTTCAAAGCCAGGTTGGTCTCCAAATGTTTCACTTAGTCTCTAAGTTAAATATTGTAAAATTCCTTTCTTTGGCAATGAACAAAGAGTAGAAGTTGAGTCAACTTCATATCAATATTGTTTTTTTTTTTTTTTACAAAGACCGTGAGAAGGAAGTGTATATGGAGATCCCACAAGGGTTGAAAAATAGCTCAAATAAATATATGATTTGTAAACTAAAAAAAGTCAATATATGGGCTCAAACAATCTCCACGAGCTTGGTTTGACAAGTTTGCCAAGACTATGAAATTTAATAGGTACATCTAATGTCAAAGTGATCATACATTGTACATAAAGCATACACAAGAAGGTAAGAAAGTTATATTAATTATCTATATGGATGATATGATCATGAGAGGTGATAATAAAAAAGTAATTAAGAATATTAAATAGATTCTTGCCACTGAATTTGAAATCAAGGATCTAGGAGCTATGAGATACATTTTGGGTATGGAAATGGTAAACTCCGAGTAAGGAATTGTGATATCTAAGAGAAAGTGCAAATTAGGCCTCTATTAAAAAAGACAAGAATGTTAGATATAAACTTGTTGAGACTCCTACGGATTTCAACAAAAGGTTTAAATTTGAGAGAAAAGACACATGTGAAAAAAGGTAGATACTAAAGATTGGTGGGAAAGCTTATCTATCCACTATACATAATATCTTTTTCTCTATCAGCATTGCGAGTCGATATACGAAAACTCCAGATGAAGAACAATCAGAGATAATTTACAGAATATAGAGGTTTCATAAGAAGACCTTAACAGAGAATTATTGTTTAAGAAATCAAACAACTAGGAACTAAAAGTTTAAACTATGGTTAGTTGGGCAGAAGAACTCACGAGCAAAAGATCCACATCTGGAAATTGTTATGGGAAAATCTTGTCATAAGGATGAGCAAGAAACAAGCAGTGGTCTCAAGAAGCAGCGTAGAATTTGAGTATCGGGCACTTGCTTTGGAAATTTGTGAAAAAATGTGGATTCAAAGGTTATTCAATGGTTAAAGATGCTCCACGGTCAAACCCATAAAGATGTTTTGTTACAACCAAGCAGTCATTAATATTGCAAAAAACTCTGTGCATCATGACAGGACCAAACACATTGAGATTGATAATTATTTTATCTCTAAAAAAGTCAATGGTGGTATTAACACTTAGCATACATTTCAATTCATCTTCAAGTCACTGATGCCTCCAGAGCAGCTTCACCGATTTGATTACCAAACTGGGTCTTTACAACAACGATAACCCAGCTTGAGGGGTAGTGTGGAATTCCTTATCAGTAAGAAATATGCATCAGGAAATTTATTTTATTATCTCAGAAAATACTCTAATAATTGTGTTTCATTTATTTGTATTTCCTATTTTATGTTTTTTCCTATTTAGAGGGATTCCTATTTTATTTTTTGTTAGTTATGCTATATATATGTAGTGTAGTGTAATGTTTGAAACAATATGAATAAAATTATTTCTAGTTTCTACAATAGAGGTTATTGAATGTTCAAAAAAATTGAAGCATTTTCCTAAAACTTGGGAGGTTGCAGCCAACCAAGGAGTTGGACAATTGGTGATCATTCAAACTGCTATTAGTTTGGTAAGTGATGAATTATTTTATCCCTGCACTTTTTTCTCTTTTCTTCTTTTTTTTTTTAGTTATTGTGAGTTGCATTCTCCATCTACCATTGCCTTATAACTCCATAACGTCCCCCCCATAATTTTCTCCCACCAAAACCCTAACCAAATACCATTCAAAAATGACCGACCTATGCTTGGGCAGTTCAAACCAAGTATTCATCCCTTAGCCTGTTAATCAATCTAAACCCTTAGAAATTTGGTGAAAAGCTCCAAAATTAATCTAGTCACACTTTTCTAAATTTAACAAAACATTTCAAGTTTTTTCTTAGGCCCTATTCACTAGGGCCAAAGATCCAAATAAAGCTTATTGCATATTAGCTCTAACAAGCAGAGTTAACAACAAAAGAAGCCTTTATAAGAAAACAATGCAAAGTAAGTGCCTGCCACCAAACCTAAGCATGATTTTCAACATGTAAGTACAACTTAAGAGAATTAGGTTATGCCATTGCAAACGCAATTGAAAGTCTTGTACACTGGCATGAATAATGAGTGTGCCATAGAAAAATGTAATATAAACTAAATCTTTATTAAGACTAAAATAGCCTGAGCGATCATTGTGTGCTGCACAACGTTGGTCAAGCTAACCCAGATTTTAATAAAGAGCAACCGACACTTCATTTTATCAGGTGCACTTGTTTGATGGCCTTTTCAAGTCATATAAACCTAAGGATTATTCTATCATCAAATGACATGAAAGTTCCATACAAGCCATCGTGTTAGCAGCTGTATGATAATAGTAAAAACGAAAACATTAATTAAAAGGAGAATACAGAGTTACACCAAATCAGCTTGCTGAAGAATATAAAGCATGGCTAAATGAATTCTTCTTACCGCAAATCTTAAGAGAAGACATGACTTGCCAACCCCCGAATCTCCAATAAGCAAAAGCTTGAAAAGATAGTCACTGCAAAAAGCAGAAACTCATCAAATTTTAAAACTAACCTAAAGAGCAAACTTTTGCACCAACTGTCATTTGCATGGCGTCACTCATTTTGTTTCATGGAATCAAGCATGAGAAACTGAATCGTGTTAACTATGGCCCTAATTTCATATAAATTTAAAATCCAAAAGTAACTTCACCACATAAAACATCAATGAAGCCAATGCCAGCAAATGGATTTAAAACTTTTATGATGCAAGATGGAACCCGAATTGCTTGTTTTAGATCAAGGTACTCAGCATTTTGACCATATTGGCAGCTGAGCCAAGTGCCCACTAAATATTTTTAAAATTAAAACAACGGATACTCTTCCTTAAGTGTAACACATATCAAAATGATTTTCATGACTGAAATATAATAATAATAAACAATGTAAGCAAATTCCAGAGAACCTCAAAAAATGACAGTTGCGAAGCCAACTAAAGCAATATGAGTGTAATAGTTTAAATGAAATAGGTAAAATAAGAGAAAATAGAGACAGATTAAGCCAAATTTTCTTAAGTCAGAATATCAAAATCATTGGATCAATGATCAAAACCCCTAGGAGCTTTGAAAAAAAGATGCAGCACCATTTAGAAAAACCAATCTAATTGAACGTAGTGTCTCAAAGTATCTCCATGTCAACAGTCAAAACCAATACATAAAAAAACAATAATATGCCAAAAAGGAAAACCTCTTCGATAAGAATTTAGTAAACTTGGAAGTAGAAAGGATAAACTGAAAATCACGAATAAATACGGTAATCTAATTCGGTAAACTAATAAAGGAAATAAAAGAGTAGACAATTGTTGGACATAACAATCAAATTAGCAAAATATTGTTAAATTACTCAAGAAAATATTGTTGTTATTTTCTTGAGTAATTTTCTGGTTTTATGATTTCACTCGTCTTAGATTTATTTATTTAGATATGCATTTGATGATAAGGCGTATAAGACTGCGATGTTTCTCAATTAAATGGGGTTTCCTTGATATAGTTTAATTTCTGTTGGTTGGAATGCTGATCAAGTAATTTATTGTATTCAAGAGTTCAAGTATTTTATTGGTTCAAGGTCATGGAGCCTTTATTCATGGGAACAGGGGCCATTTGATCATTTGCTACCATGCATGTGAATCTAGTTATTTTTCTCTGACGCTATTCCTATTAGTTAGCAACTGCCAGTTCATTCATGTTTAACCAACTATATTCTACTGCAGTTGATAGTTGATACCATCTTCTATTAGTAACCTAAAGAGCAAACTTTTGCACCAACTGTCATTTGCATGGCGTCACTCATTTTGTTTCATGGAATCAAGCATGAGAAACTGAATCGTGTTAACTATGGCCCTAATTTCATATAAATTTAAAATCCAAAAGTAACTTCACCACATAAAACATCAATGAAGCCAATGCCAGCAAATGGATTTAAAACTTTTATGATGCAAGATGGAACCCGAATTGCTTGTTTTAGATCAAGGTACTCAGCATTTTGACCATATTGGCAGCTGAGCCAAATGCCCACTAAATATTTTTAAAATTAAAACAACGGATACTCTTCCTTAAGTGTAACACATATCAAAATGATTTTCATGACTGAAATATAATAATAATAAACAATGTAAGCAAATTCCAGAGAACCTCAAAAAATGACAGTTGCGAAGCCAACTAAAGCAATATGAGTGTAATAGTTTAAATGAAATAGGTAAAATAAGAGAAAATAGAGACAGATTAAGCCAAATTTTCTTAAGTCAGAATATCAAAATCATTGGATCAATGATCAAAACCCCTAGGAGCTTTGAAAAAAAGATGCAGCACCATTTAGAAAAACCAATCTAATTGAACGTAGTGTCTCAAAGTATCTCCATATCAAGAGTCAAAACCAATACATTAAAAAACAATAATATGCCAAAAAGGCAAAGCTCTTCGATAAGAATTTAGTAAACTTGGAAGTAGAAAGGATAAACTGAAAATCACGAATAAATTCGGTAAACTAATAAAGGAAATAAAAGAGTAGACAATTGTTGGACATAACAATCAAATTAGCAAAATATTGTTAAATTACTCAAGAAAATATTGTTGTTATTTTCTTGAGTAATTTTCTGGTTTTATGATTTCACTCGTCTTAGATTTATTTATTTAGATATGCATTTGATGATAAGGCGTATAAGACTGCGATGTTTCTCAATTAAATGGGGTTTCCTTGATATAGTTTAATTTCTGTTGGTTGGAATGCTGATCAAGTAATTTATTGTATTCAAGAGTTCAAGTATTTTATTGGTTCAAGGTCATGGAGCCTTTATTCATGGGAACAGGGGCCATTTGATCATTTGCTACCATGCATGTGAATCTAGTTATTTTTCTCTGACGCTATTCCTATTAGTTAGCAACTGCCAGTTCATTCATGTTTAACCAACTATATTCTACTGCAGTTGATAGTTGATACCATCTTCTATTAGCCATACTTATCCCCTAAACAATATGCTTATCTCGATCAAGTCAACCACCGGATTGTAGCATCGTACATTAATCTTGTAGCAGCACATCCATGTTTCTATGCACATTGTGAACAGCACACCATCTTCCACAGATTTCTTCTGGATGGTGAATGCGTCTTATACACATTGGACCTGAGAATTGATATGAAGTTCATTAGCTTTTTAATTTGAATAGTGCCTAAGCAGTTCAAGGCCACATCTGCCAACTTAGGAGCAATAAATTTGAAGTATATACAACAAGAAGCCTTTATCCCACTATGTGAGGTCGGATACATGAATTCTTTTTCTCCATTGCATCCTATTTAGTGTCATATTTTCATTTAATTCTAATAGATTACGATCATTTTTTATGCAATAAGCCCAAGGCTTTTTAGGTCTATCTCTGCCTTTCATAAAATTAGTCAAAGCTAAAACATCTACTCTCCTTACCAAATCATTAGATGGTCGGTGATTAATGCGACCGAACCATCTAAGACGACTCTCTCTAATCTTATCTGCCACCGGAGCTACCAACCCTATCACAAATATATTCATTTCGCATTTTGTCTCCGAGTGTCAAGCTACTCATCCACCTAAGTGTTCTCAACTCATCAACAATTAATTTTGTTTTATGCTTATCTTTTCAGACCAACATTTTGCGCCATAGAGCATTGCAGGTCTCACCACGTTCTTCTAAAATTTTTCTTTCAGTTTAAGCGGTACTTTTCTATCACACGATAGACTCGAAGCATTCCTCTACTTCAACCAACCAAGTTGAAGGAGTTGAATTCTATTAATGATATTGTTATAATAACAACAGGATTCATTTTGATTTTGTATGTTTGGAAGAATTTCTTGCCTTCCAAACAAACCATAGAAGAAGAGAAATCAAAATGCTCTCAATAATTGTTGGATGAAGAAGGGAAACATCTAGCCATTTCAAAGTTAATTTCTTTATGGTTGGGGATTAAAAATATTTTTATGAAGGATCTCATCCATCCAACGCCAGAGTTTTCACTCAGTAACTCCATTGTCAAAAAGGTGATTAATGGATTCATATTGAGAGCAAGACTGGCATTTGGACACAAGGATAATACTTTTATTTTGAAGATTAAAATCCATCAGTAGGAACCAGTGGAGGATTTTCCAAGTCAAAATGGATTGCGAATTAGAAATGGCTCTTTCCTAGAAAAACTTAAAGAGTGGAGAAGGATTCTTTTTAATCTTTATAAATCCCAAGCTTCCTTTACAGAAAAGGAGCCATTGGGCGAGAAGGTGAAAATCATTTTATCAGGCGAGTCTAAATAAAATTTAGTTTGAAGCACGAGCTGAAGGATAGCAGAAGGTAAGATATCAACCAGAAGGGGGATATTTCACTTGCCATTGGAAATAACGTGATAAACTTCTAGAGAGGATGTCGAGTGAGAATTGATGAGAGTGTCCAAATATTCTATACCAAGTCAGTTGTTTTCCAGAAATAAGTATTCTCACAACCCAGACCACTGGCTATTAAAGCTACAACGGTCCATTTGATGAGGCACAAGTGCCTTCAAATAAGAGAATTCCCCTTTTTGTAATATCCAAGAGCAGAATGATTCCCTTGGCAGCACTTCTGAATAATGAATTTGCCTTGAAGGCTTTTGCCCATACACATTGTCCACCAGAGCTTAATGGAAAATGCATTGGCCAAACGAAAGGATTTACAACCCAATACACGTTCAATGATGGGGAAGCAAAGCTTCTCCCAAGAGGACCAAAGGAATGCATGATTAAGCTCAGTCGATCCCCAAAAGAATTAATTTATAATAGTATCGAGTTTGTGCGAATACCCTTAGAGGGGTTTAAAGATTGAAAAATATAAATTGACGGAGAGCAAAAAAACACTTCTAATCAAAGTAGGTCTTCCCCCCATAAAAAGCGGGTGAAATTCCCAACTAGCAAGTTTTTTTTTCTGATAAACGTAATGATGCATCAAACAAAAAGTTCCTTATGTTCCCTTTATTGAGAGGAACACCATGATACTTGATATGGAGATTTTTAAAAGGAAAATTAAGGATTCTTTTGATATAATCCATATTTTTCTATTTAGAAGTTCTAGCAGGAATATAACAACTCTTGTTAGGATTAATTAGAACGCCACTGCCATCTTCAAATTCAGTAAGAACCTTCTTAATAAGTTTAATCAATTTAATTTAGCCATTCCAAAAAATGATGAAATCATTAGCAAAGCTCAAATGAGAAATAATGGAACTACGCTTCAATTTGTAGTGATAAGACTTATAATTCACAAATAGGTTATTAAGACTTCTAGATAGGTATTCAACAACAATGATAAAGAGGTAGGAGAAATGGGATCTTCTTGTCTCAGCCTTTTGTCTATTTTGAAATAGCCATGCGATCTACTTAATAATTATATAAAGCCAACAATTGTCAATAGATTTGAAGATTAACTTAAATACAATCCTCATTGAATCCAAATTGAAGGATTTGATACAAGAAAGCCCACTTTAA